GCCGCTCCGATGGTGAATATGCAAGTTTCCCTAGAAAAACACTAATACGCTCGATTATAAAAATATGCCATCCCTCCACTATCCCGGCCTCCCCTTCCCCTTCCGTACTGAAAAACTTGAAGCTAATGAACTCACTAAGGAGGGATTTTTCACTTCACGTCACTTCGTATTTCCATCACACTGTGTTCTTCCTAAGTACAACCTCGACACGCCAGTGTACAGGAGTTTCTAGAAGAGGTTGCTAGACATCTGAATTGATCTTTTTTTTTCACAACTAGCGTTTGCTCTTTCTTTCTGTCATAGCCAGTATTAGTGACTATGTTTCGCATAAATCGTCAGTGTTTAGAAAAGCAGTAGCAGCTGAAGAAATAAGCGCAGTTCTTTGAAGCAGGAAAGGCAGTACGGGCCATAAAGGCCCTATGAAGATCATATCAACAAAAAACTATAAACAGTCCGCCTGGAGGACTGCAAGCACCGGCCCATACAGTCAGGGGCAAAATAGGAAGAACCCTACATTTTACACAAAACAACGGTGTGAAGTCTTAGCCAACCGAAAGCCTCTCAAAGTAAATCTCCAGCTGTATACATATTTCTACTAGAAAGAAAGCAAATTTCAACTCTCCCCAAAGAAACATCGTGATAATGCGATGCAGTCACAACAGACCGACATTTTGCTTTGCGATCAATTTCAATTCGCTGTTTACCAGGCCTATTTTAAGCTTATTCATTTCGTGGGTGCTTCTTGCGGTGAGGATTATATCATTTGAAAAAAAGCAATCCGCTTGAAAAAAACTACCACTTATGCATGACCACCGCCAACTATAAATAGGAATTTTGACGACTATAAATTAATAAAATTAGAAAGACGGTATAAAATCAGGTTCGATTAATAAAAATAAAATATTGTTTGATCTGCTAGATTAACTTATGCGAATTTGCTTTGTTTTAATCAAAAAACAGCGTATTTCCCATGGCCTGGATGAAAAAAAAAATACTACTATTAGCTATATTCAAAACTAAAATAAGTAGAGAAACAGTAGAAAAATACTAACCGTCTTTACGTTCTACTGGTTCACTTCCTCCACCTTGCCAATGATAATTTTTCATGCACAAATCAGCGGCCAAATCGCGGCACCGCTTCACCAAGTACGCTTGCTTATCGTGCGCTTTTAGGTATGGCAAAATGTACGGCAATGGTGTTTTCAGGAATTCATTTTTTGATGAAGCAGCAACGTAAAGAGCTTCTGCCGATGAATGGCCAACTTTTAAATGCAGATGCGCATGAGACTGAAAATACACAGTGATTGATTGTTCTCTTTTAGTAGTAAAGGAATAAAAAACAAACACTGCAGAAGAACGTCTGTAAGATGGAACCAACAAAACTGACTCAGCTAAAAACTTAATTTTCCCAACATACTAATGAATTTAACAGTCAGTATTATTATCATTGTTATTATTATTATTATTATTATTATTATCATTATTATTATTATTATTATTATTATTATTATTATTA